GTAGAATTAAACATTATATCATAATAATACCAATATATTAATAATACTAAACAGCAGATAGGTATTTAGTATTGCCAAACTTAAACCATGTGGAAAAAGAAGATAATTGTGTTCAAAACCTAAATGGATATATTCATCAAATTATCCAGTCTGATACTTTTTAATTTCTTCCTGTTGTTTCAGGTAGCAGGATGTAAATTCCCATCCTTGCATGTTGCCTCCTAGGGGCAGTAGCACTGAGACTTTGCCCTGAGCTCGAGCCACAACATCTCATGGCCAAAATACCTCAGGAAACCAGCGCAGGCTTTTCCTCAAGAAAAAGCCCGTGACCTTTTCCAGTGAAAGCTCCGATGGTGTTTGCACAGCAGACAAAGGAAGAGCATCTTCTTAAAAAGCGAAGGCACTTGGCAGGAAATCAAACCCTGGATCAGGGAGTTGGGATCAGCCAGGAGCCCAGAACATCATCCCAGCAGGGCAGTGGGGACCCAGGGCTGCAGCTGAGGCTCCTGCTGGGTTCAGGCTGGAGAGGAGGGACAGACAGGGGGTTAAGTGGTAAATTTTGTCCCTGCTGAAGCTGGAGGAGTAGCAGGAGCTGGAGCAGCCTGTGAGGCTGTGTCCTCACAGCACTGAGAGACAAGGAGTAGCAAAGGAGTTTTCAGGTTGTTTTCTTATAGGTCAAATGGAAAATTGCCTGGGTTTCTCGGTAAAACATTTTTTCTTTGCTTTTTTGTTGGGTTTTTGTTTTTTTGTTTCTGTTTTTTCTTTCAGCAGTAGGATCAGCCTTTTTCACTGGTTCCCTTTATTACACACTTGGATATTTATTTCTGACATTTAATTTTGAAAATAAATCTCTTATTAAAGCTGAGCTTGGAAAGGTTAAAAGCAGGTTTGTTTACAGAAACAGATACAAATGGATGTGTGACTGTACCTGTTGTGGGGTTTTCTGAGCACCTTTCCTGTGTCTGTATGAGTCACATCAACTTGTCTTGAGACTGATATTTTTTCATTTGTGTCCAAATTGATTTCAGAAATGCAGTGAAAGACACAGATACAAACCAAATAAGATTAAAGGCTTTAAAAGCTTAATAAATTAAGAAGAGCAAATCTGGCTGATAACATGGCTTTGATAGCTGGCTATAAAGGACAGGGAGTTAAGGAATTACAGGTACCTGACAGCATCCCTTCCTCAGCAGTATGCAGGCACAGGGGAACAGGTTGGACTCTCCAGCTTATCAGCAGGAGAGGAGCAACAGAAGACAAAGCTGAGGGGATCTAAAAGATTTGAGGGACTAGAATTTAAACAAGCACCCCCAGCCCATGCTGAACCAGCTCGGAGTGTCCTGCTGGCAGTGACACCTGCCAGTGACACTGTCCTGCCAGAACCATTGGAAAAGCAACTGGAATGGTTTGAAACCCCAATGAGAAGCTACATTTGAAACATTGAGGTGTTTCCTAGGACTTTTTTTCCTATTTTCTATGTCCTTTTCTAGGGACACTCCTCCAGCTCAGGAGCAGCTTCCCTCTCTGGTGAAGTTTTATGGTGTGCTGCCCCTGAGCATGTCTGGAGCTCTCTGAGCTCCCTGTGTGGGCCATGGGATGGGCTCCATGAGATGCAGAACATCCCTCTGCCTTTCATCTCTTCCCCAGCTGTATAAATGAACGATGGCCCAAGAGAGAACTTTGGCTTGGGTTGTTTGCCTGGCTGACAATTGCTTCACGTGCTTATTTGCTACTCTGGTTTCACTCAGATCAGCAGAAATGTGCTTTATTTCAGGGGAGAAAATTCTGCCACAACTCTTGATTTTAGTGCTGCAATAAATCATTTGATTTAAAGAATGAGAGGTAAAAGTATACTATGGGTTAGAGAAGCAAAAGGAGGAGAAGGAATCCTGGTTTTAATAAGAACAGTCATAAAGAAGAAAAATTTGTCCTCCCTGATGGAAAGGTCCTGTCAGCTTTGAGTGGGTTGAAACCTGTGCCACAATCTGTGACATTTCTCTTTACAGCCAGTATCTCTGGAATATAATAGGCTTTCTCAATGGGACAGTGTGAATCATTGTAAGGAACACCACAGTGAGGATATTGCTCTGCACAGCCCTGGCAGCAGTAGAGAAAGATGGCATTTCCCTGCTCAGCACGACGCTCCCAGAGAGGTTCAGTACCAGGGGACAGATAGATCAGGGCAAACCCTGACCCTGCCATCTCTGAGCAGGACTGGAGGGACCAGGACTGAAGGGCACCGAGACATTCTTCACATCCCAGCCCCAAACCAAGGCCAGCTTAGCCCCAACATCAGCCCTGCTTGCCTGCAAATCCCAGCAGAATTTTGTGGGTAAGCTGTGCACACAGACTGCAGTGTAATGAGTGAAATGGTTGCTTATCAATTTGTTTTTTTCAGCAAATATTTCTTTAATTATGGTAAGTTCCTGTGGGGACAGGGGGAAGCCCAGGATAACTTCAGGCTGCATTTCCAATGGCTGGATGGCAGCACAGACTCACTCCCTGCCTGTCACTAACACAGCGTTGGAGTTTCATCAGTAGCATTTGCTTGTCACCAACGTGTTTTACAGAAAATCGTAATTTTATTTTTATAAATGAGGAAACAGCTTGTGTGAGCTCGCACATCCCACATCCCCTCTCCTTCCCTGGGCCAGCAGATGGGCACAGCCCATCTCTGGACCAGCTGAGTCATGCCTGAAGCTCCCAAGTGCACAAAAACAGTTTAATAATGCTGGGAAAGTGGCAAAAGAAAGTAAATCAGGATGGAAAGAACCTGGAGACGAGGTGAGGGAGAAGGAAGTATGGTGTGAAGTAATTTTTGAGGTTGTGGGGAAAAATCCAGAGACTTCTCAAGGAGCTGTGCCCAAATCTGAAGCCATGTAGATTGGCAGGTCCATCTCCAGGGTGGCTGTTTATCCCTCATTTCACAGCCCAATCTTTCCCCTGGTGCAAACAAACCAGGAAACATCACAAGGCCGTGGAAGGACAAGCTTTCCCCTCTTTACACAGCCCTAGTGACAAATACTGGTGGAGTAGAATGAGGAAAACACTCCTCCAGACATGGATTGCCCTGGTTCTGGAGTGGGAGAGCTCCCAGCAGAAGGCAGGGCGAGGAGGGATCTGTGTTTATCCTGATTTTCAGAACCTGAGGGCAAGAGGGGAGGCTGGGCAGGGGTCAGCTCAGCCAACACCCTGTTGTGTCCCCAGGCTGGCTGGGGCTCTGGGGGCACACGCTGCTCCTGGAACACACAAAGCCAATTAACTGCTTGATTGGATGAAGGGGCACAGTCCAGCAGCCCACTGCCAGCCAGTCAGGATCCCAAATGTCCCAATGTCGTTAAGGTATGTGTGTTAATCCCCTCCTGCAGGATTAAGCGTTTAACCTGTGGCTGGTGTTTCTGAGGAGAATGACAAACCTGCTGTGCTGGGGGAGCACAGCCCCCTGTGTGGCCACAGCATCTTCCAGGTGCTTCAGGGGGCTCAGAGTGCACATAAGGAAAGATTATTTGGCAAAAGAGAGAGATTTAGCGTCTGCATCCATTCCTTCCCTGCTCTCTGTCCTTCTTTCCTTGGGAATAAGATACTTTAGAGGGAAAGCTGCCTACCCCCTCCCTGACTGATTGCCCTTAACCACAGATTTCTTTGAAATACAGATTTTTATTGAACTTTCAAAGTTGTGTTGGGAATTGCAATACCTTCCTAGCCCAAGAGAGGTGTGAAGGCAATTTCCTCACTGAGCCAGGAAGAAGGAGGAATAAGGGCCATTTAATAGATGTGGCTTTTCTCATCATGGGGCTTGAGAGGAACCTGCAGCCACTCACATCTTTAAATGCTTTCAACCATCACAGAAGCCCTGGTGCTTAGATCCCAGCCAGGAAAAGGTGTCACATAGCTGATTACACACAGCAGACCAGAATTACTCATGGTTAATGCCTGATTAGGAGTTAAATTAATATTGACAGCCTATAGTAAACTGCAATGATTTATTTAGCCAAAAATAAATATGAAATGTCATAACACAATCCCAGTGGCCCACTGTGATAATTAAACACACTTTAAAATCTTGTACTGACAGGGAAGACACAAGTCCATGGAGGGGCTTGCACTGTGTTAATAAAGACAAAAAAAGAGATCTCTCCACGCAAGGCTGGGCACAGGAGAAAAACTTGCATTAACAGTTTTTCCCCCCACACTCACAATATTTCTCCTGTAAATACATTATTTAAAGGCCATGGGCATGCAAAGGGCAGCAGGCAATTGCATTTCCAGCTTTCAGCTGCACAGAGGCTCAGGGCCAGGGGACCAGATGTTGTCCAATACACAGACGATGGCTACAGGTAAAAAGCACATCTTTATGCGGATACGGTTTGCAAATCAGCCCCAGCACTCCAGCAGTAATGGAGTTTTATGTCTAGAACACAGTACTAGCCTTGAACCGTGTTATTAGTGCTGGAGAGGAACACAGCCTGTCCTGGAAAACTGATGTGTTGGCAGAATTTCCTTTCCTGGTGGCAGCATTTTCTGAGGGGCGAAGGTGGAGGAGAGAGTTTCCTCCTCTCCCTCGCTTGATGGATGTGTGCTGGAGAGCAGAAACATAGGAGGTGTCAGGAGTGATGGAGTGATGCTGAAGGCTCTGACAAATGAGCTCTAGAAAGTTACACTGACATCTTTGTGAATGTATTTCACGTTCAACATTGAAGATGTTCCCATGCTGCTGCTCCCCTCTGTCCTCTGCCAGAGCCCCAGGGTGCACAGCACAGAATGCCCCACACAGCCCTGGAGCTCAGCCATCAGAGGTGCTGGGATGAGACCAGAGGGGAAGGGGGATGTGTAAACAAGCTTTGTGTCCTACTGACCTGGTTCAGAGGCAGAAAATTGCTTTGGGAACAGAGTCCCACCTTCAGCTGCCGCGGGGATTTGCTCAGTGAGCGTGTCAAAACCTTGAGAACAAACACCACGGGTGCAGAAGCTGTAACTCTGCTTTTCCTTCTCCCTTCCAGCTTGCTGCACTAGAGAGGCAAGTGTTCGACTTCCTGGGATACCAGTGGGCCCCTATCCTCGCCAACTTCCTGCACATCATCATCGTTATCCTGGGGCTGTTCGGCACCATCCAGTACAGACCTCGCTACATCGTGGTGGTGAGTGACACGCTCTGTTCCCAGCAGCAGAGCCTGTCCCAGCCTGTGCTCGGGGGATGTGGCTGGCAGCAGGGACACTGCAAAGCCCCTGGGAGATCAGGCACGAGCCCTGCATGCTGTTCTAGCAGGAGATGCCTGGCTGTGCTCAGGAATCCCCTGTTCAGTGAGCTGTGTTTGTGCTAAACTTGGAAGGTTTCAGATAATTCTTCAGCCCAAGCACTGCCCAGCAGAGAGGGAGGGCGAGGGGCTGGACAAAGGCAGCACAGAAGCTTTTCCAGCCCTCCAGACTCCTGCCCCTTGTGTGTGTCTTATCAGGCAAGAGAGTATCTGAATATGGAAAACAGAGGAAGAGAAAAAGGATTTCGGTGCTGACTCAGGGCATTCCACTGTCCCCAGCTAGAGCACACATACATCAATACAAATATAGATATATGTATATACACACTAATTCCAGTGACTTCCTCATGTTTATTGCTTCTCTCTCCCCATCCCCATTCCTTCCCAGTATGCCATCTGGACTGCAGTCTGGGTCACCTGGAACATCTTCATCATCTGCTTTTACTTAGAAGTGGGAGGGCTCTCAAAGGTGAGTGCCCAGGCTCTCACACAGGGGATGGAGCTGGGTGGGGAGGGGAGGGCTGCCATGGTTGAGGTGAGGGTGGGGGCTGCCTGGGTCCTGCCCTCCTGCCTGTGGAGAGGGCTGCTTTATCAAGGATGGGGAATGCTGCTGCTTGTGTGGGGGAGCTGAGGAGCCACTCTTGATTTCTGGAGCTCTCAGCTGGTTGGTGCAGATGGTGGCTGGAATAAACCCTGCCCTCACAGCAGGCAGAGAGGTGAGAGCAGGCCTGGCAGCAGAGCCACCCTGAGGGGAGAGGGGGTTTGAGGGCCAATTCCCAGCAGTGATGCTGAGGAGGGCTAGGAGATAACCAGACTGCAGCTGATCCTCTTGGGGTCTGAGACCACCTTGGCAAGAAGGTGTGTGGTGGAGGGGAGGCTCCTCGAGCAGCACTGAGTGTGGCCTTTCTGCCAGCCTGTCCCAGGGAAGGGCTGCTGCAGGGTCTGGCTGGGTTGACCTGAACCAAGGACTTGGCTGGAACTCTACACCTGACCAGCTCTTGATATTTTTGTGCCTCCCAGTCCTGCTGAAGACTTGCTGCACTTCAGCAGCAGGGATAAATACCTGGTTGTTGCCACACCAGGCAAAATATTTCCTGTTGTACCTTTGGGGAGAGGCTCCTCTGTCTGCTGAACAGAGAACATCCCTCCCCAGAGGGATCTGGCTCCTCTCCTTGGGATGTGGCTTCCCTGCCTTAATTCTTCCTTCTCAAGCTCGGTGGTAGTTACTCCTGGCTGCTGGCCAGGGTGTTGTGAGTTAATATGCAAAACTCTTTGAAGACTAGATTAGCTGAGTATTGCTGTCTGCCTAATGAGGGGTGAGTCAGAAATAATAAAAATGGGAGGCAGGCCCTAAATTAAGTCTGGGCTGTAAGCAATGAATTATGAGTGTTGCTGTAGCACAGCATTCAGAGTGATTGTGGGATGCAGGTTCATTTCAGAGCACTCCACATCTGGCCTAAATTCCCAGGTCATGCACTGGAGCTGCAGTCATAATTGGAATTGCCCTGTGGTTTTATCAGGCCCACAGCAAGTCAGGAGTGGCAGCCTAAATCCTTTGCAGATAAGAAAATGTAACTTCCTAATGTCTCAATTCATCTTCATTTTCCCTCTCAATTATCTCCATAAACTTTGAGGGAGTTCTCGCCCAAAACAGTGATTATTCATAGTCTGAAATCTCAGCCTGAGATGATCTCGATGTTGGCTGCGACCAACTGATAAAAAAAGGAATTTTATGTAACTGTTTAAATGCTCCCTCCTGCAGAGAAAAATGTTGGCTTGATAAGCTGCTCTGGGAGCTTCTCAGAGCCAGTGTTTGCTTCCAGCCAGCTGGATACTCGTGTTTGCTAATCCCAACCTGCACTGCAACACGTCAGGTTGCTGTTCTGCAATTCAAACAGCACCTCAAACTCCTTTTTTTGTGCCACAGAGGAGCTTCACCTGGTAACCTTGCTCTGTGCTGGGGCTCATTTTAGCCAAGCCAGCACACAGAGAGGCTTTATTTAGCCTACAGGGTGACACTTGTGACTGGGGACATTTTTTATAGAATTGGGCTGCAGTGTAAGTTGTTACTGACTCCGTGGACTTTCCTCATGGGCTGCAATGAGAAATTAGTTCATTTAATGGCAGCCAGCAAAATCAAGAGAGAATTTGTGCTTGTTTGGCTGCAAAGTAGTTGACAGCCTTGCCTCTGTTCTTAATGAGTTATTCTCACTTTAAAAAGCTGTTTTGTAAGGAAAGCTAATGATGCTGCTTTCCATCCTCCTCCACTTTCACTGAAGTAATTTGGGTCTTTGTAGTGGCAAAACAAATCTGTGCTTCACAAGAGACCAAAAGATCCACCTGAAGCAGGAGCTGAGGTTTCTGTAGGACACTTCCCAGGCTGGGCTCTCCTGCTGCATCTCTGGAAACCTGACCCAAGGCCAGCTGGTGTTTTATTGTTTTATTTATGTGTTTTATTGGGTCAGTGCTGGGATCAGGCCCCAGAAGGACATCTGGGCTTGGCTGTACGAGTGTTGGGCAGTGTGCAGCAGGGCTGCAGGTACCTCTGTGTGCCCCAGGGCCCACGGGAGGAGGCTGCCCTCTAGTCCTGACAAGAAGTCAAAGCTCATCGTGAGCCTGGCAGTATGGAGGGAAATTGCGAATATTGGAAGAAGAGCTTTGCTGGAGGGAGAGGCTGATGGAGCTGGTCTGATAAACAAGAACTCATTAACTACTAGACTAAGCATGAACACACTGGGGAGTGCTTGCACAGGGTTGTGCAAGTCCCTTAAGGGACTGAGAGCTCTGAAGGGCTTCAGGGTGCTGTTTCCTCTGTGATTGCTGGTGAGGCTGGGGAGAGTGGCATTCCTGCCAGCCCTGCACTGACCCTGCTGGGTTCTGACAAGGGCAGCCTGCCAGGACAGGCTCTGTCAGCAGCTTGTTTACAGTGAGAGAATGCAGAAAGGGCAGGGAAATCGACAGAATGGAGTTTGTTAACTTGGTGCCTGGTAATGACAGTCCAGTGCCACTGAGAGAGGTGATAACTCAGGTGGGGTGAGAAAAGGATAGGACAGAAAGGGTTCAAGTGTTTCCAATGTAACAGACTTAAGAAAAGCCCAGGGAACTGAAAAGATGAGGAAACAGTTATGTGCACTCATTGCAAACAATTCTTTATGCTCTGCTGCCTAGATCTGATTTCACAGTGGTGAAGGAATACAGGATGGGAGCAGGGAAGTGCTGTTCACAAGAACAGGGATGTTGTTCTTGTGCCCCCCTTGCTTTGGGTGCCTGGCTGATTTAATGAACAGAAACCAGGGAGCCCACAGTCCATGTCAGCCCATGAGTAATTTGGCAAAGGGGTTGAGACAATCTCTCAGTTATAAACTTTAGGTGATCAGTAGAATAAGGGCTGGTAGGTACAATTTGCCTGTTGCTTTCCCTTACCATGGAATTGTTCTCTGCTGCATCTTTCTTCCACTCTGTTGTCTGCCACCACCTCTCACCCTCTCTTTCCTCCTGTTTTTCACATTTCTTGAAGTGCTCCTTTATCCTCCAGGTTATTGCAGCATGTCCATTCCATGTCTCCTGGCCATGGAATTGCTGAGGATGCTGTTCTGGTCAGCCCTGCTCAGGGGGGTTATAACTAATTACTAACCAACCACCAATCACTAGTTACACTGAATTTTGTATTGGAAAGAAAAATACGTTTTACTGAACACTGAATCTATTCCTTGCTCCTTGGAAGAGCTAAACTGACTTGATTTCTGTCTTTCTATCCTGTCAGAGTCTTTTATCTTGGAATCTTTTCTTAGCAGGAGTAAGAGTGTGAAATATGGCCCAGCAGAGCTTCCTTGGGTGGCCAGACCCGGGTGGATCAGCACAAGTGTGTAAGGAAGCACTTTCCTTGCTGCTGGAAGGGCCTCCCCAAGCACACAGCCCATGCCAGCCCTCCTGCAAGTGTTCTGCCAGTGAGCAGCCGAGTGCTGGAGCAACCTGGATTTGCAGGGCTGCTTCTCAGCACTGGCAGGGAGGTGGTGATGTGTCTCTGAGCAGCTTTTGGCAGAATTGCCTTGCTGACTTGCTCTGCTCATACTCATGAGCACACTTGCAGCTCCAAGTGCTGTGCCCCTGCTCTGTGCAGCCCAATTTCCAGGTTGCTGTTGCTCCTCCTGTCCCATCTCCCTCTTTTCCCCGTGTCCATCTGGCTGTTTGGGTAGGTGAATTGCTGGGAGCTAGCTCTGAAGTTTCCAGGCTGTGTTTGCAATAATATGTTAAGCTTCTCCCTGTTTACTCGAGCATGAAATTCATCCCTCCTGCAACCCCTCAGTCTGAGTTAATTATTAAAATCCTGCTGTTAAGACATATGAGCATCTGTCTGTCCAGCTGCCACGCTGACTGACTCTTCATCATGGACTTGAGAAATGTTCAGAGAGGTTTGAGGAACTGCTGTCCTGTATTTCAATGCATTTCAATATATTCCTTTGTTTTTTCCCTCTGGAATTATTCTTCTTGAATGGTGACTTCTAATTTATTTTTTTTTTATCCTTCCTTTATATTTTCATGTCTATGCACTGCTTTGATCTTCATCCAGAGCCCTGGTGGTCTAAATATCCTCTTGAAATGGAAGCAGCCCTCGTGAGTCAAATGGGGGTTATTTGTATTTCAGAGAACCTGGATGGCATCTTGGGATGACTTTGTACCTGGTTAAAATAGCAGAAGGATGGATAAATTCATGTGTACGTAAAACTGTCTCTCAACTCCTTCTAAATTTAGAACTTGGAAGCCTGGGATTTGGATTTTAAATGCTGTGGCATTGTCAGCAAACCCACTGAGAGACACAGGGAGTGTTCTCTGTGTCTCAAGGTGATGCAGCTGCTCTGAGCACAGGACTGAAAGTTGAACATTGCATTTCCTATTTTAATAAGAAATGTTTCCATCTACAAAGATTTACAATGATTCTGCTGTCAATCTCTGGCAGCTCCCAAATGAGGTTCAGTTTGTTCCAGAGTGGTTTTGCCTGATAATTAAGGAAATTTGAGGGAGGCAGTTCAGAAGACTGTTAACAGCAAAAAAATAAAACCATCTCTGATAGTGTCCCTTTAGAAAATAATTTCAGAAGAGCTTTCAGGAAGCTGTTTTAGCGAAGGAGCGCAGCTGGCTCCGTGGGTGTTGGAGGTAGGTGTGAGTTTCCCGTGGGACACGCTGGGGAAAGCAGGCTCTGTGCAGTTTTTGGTGCTGTTGCCTTCCCTCTCGCCCTGGTGGCAAACAGGTCACAGCCAGGTGCTGCAGCAGGTCAGAGGGAGATGTGATTTTTTGGCTGGCCTTCAGGTTGCTCCTGAGAAGGAGTTTGGCTCGCCCTGGCTCGTGTTTCCCTCCAGGCTGGAGGTTAGAGGCAGTGACAGCCCTGCTGGGGCTGGGCACACACTGACCCCTCTCCCCACAGCAGGCCTGGTCACTGCTGGCACTGGTTAACATCTCCCAACCCACATTCCACTCCTGGGAGCATTCCAGTGTGTTTAGATTTCAAATGCATCGCAGAAAGCTTTTGGGAGATAGCTGTTCCCTAAACCTTCCTAAAACTGGCTCTTTTCTCCTGATTTTTGCGTGCTGTTCTAATTCATGGCTTCTCTCCAACTGTATTCTCACAAACGAAGCTGGCAAACCACAGGAGACATCCTGGAGTTGTTTTCACAGTCTCCAAGCAAGCTCTGAGCAACGGGAGGTCAATTAAGGGATTTTCTTGAGTGCTCTTTTTATTGTGCCCCATCACACAGGTATCCCCGAGGGCATCCAGCCAGGGACAGGGCAAAGCAACAGCTCTGCTTTGCATGTTGAGACCCTCTGGTTTGTGCTGCCCTCTGCCCCAGGCAGGTGCTGGTTCAGGAGGGTGGCTCTGAACACAGAGACATTCCCTGATCCCAGTGTGCAATCAGTATTCACTTTACATCTGTGAGATGGATGGCTCGTTTGAGGCATTGTGGCGTTTTTAGAATCCAAATGTGCTCAGTTTTGCCAATTTGCCCTTCACTGATGTATAACTTTTTATTTTTTGGGTTTTTTTTTTTCCTTCTTCCTCAGAGCTGGAGTATGATTGTGGGCAAAAGGCAGTGAATGCTGTTTTGGACCTCCTGTTCCTCCACCTGCCTACCTCCAGCCACACCTGTTCTGCTTTTTCAGGCTGAATTTACAAGCAAGTTCAGCGAAGTTAAGCCAGAGCCAAATCTCTGAAAGCTGACAAAAGGGAGATTCTAGAAGGAGAGCAGCCCGTTTCTTACTTTGCCAAACACACACTGACTCCTCTGTAAGGAGCAGAGAGGACACTGAGGAGTCTGTCTGCATCAGTGAGGCAGAAGGTTTGGGAAAGCACCATCTGTGAGCTGGGAGAGGGAAGCTCTGGGGACTGAGGTTGAGAGAAGGTCCTGTGGTGCCCTGGGGAACAGCTTTGGTTCAGTGCTAATGCGGGGAGCCCTGGGCAAAGAAACAGGAATTCACTTTGGGGGGTTTCTTGGTTGTTTTGGAGCTTTCTTGCTTTCTGTTTGTTTGTTTGTGGGGGTTTGTTTAGTTTTTTGAGAAAGAGGTTTGCTTCTTTCCCCAAGCAAAGCAGAGTGGCTTGTGAGAGGGAGGAGAGCCCAGCCACTTGGAGGCCTGGCTTTGGCTGGGGAAAATCCATGAGCCTCAGAACATGCCAACTTGGGGGAAAAAGAACAAGCTTTGCAGAAAAGCTGTGATTTGGTGTCTTTCTGAGCTTTGTGTGGGCCACTGAAGGGTGAAGCCCAGGAGAGGGCTAAACTCCCAGCTGTTAGTGGAGTTTTCCCCATTGTCTTTGCTATTCCGGCTGCCTTTGCCCCAGTGCCACGCTCCATCTCCGTGCCCTCCTCCATCCCCTGTAAAGCACATGCCATCTGCTGTGGTGATTATGTCAGGAGCTTGGCAGCTGTCTTCTCACTTAATTGTCCACATTTCTCAACACGTGCTTCCTGCAGCAGGTTTGAGTGCTGGCTCTGCAGGCTGGCTCGGGGTGTCTGTGGTGGACGGAGGGTCCCCACACAAGGTGCAGAGGGACACAGCTGGAGCCTGTTCCCTGCCCGGCTGGCATTCAGATTCCTGCCCCTGGGACTTGAGTTTGGCCCTGGATGTGCTTTTCTGTGTCCGTGTTTTATATCTGCAGGACTGCCTGGCTTGGCTCCTGTGTTGGCTGTGGAGACAGGCCCTCTCTCCAGAGGGTAATTTGGAGCAGGGGCTTGGATAAGCTGCTCTGGATCTGTTTTTCCTTTTCACTCTACGGGGAGCCAACACAAAGGAGCTGCCATGTGAGGTTTTCCATGTTGGGAAGTGTGAATACCCCAAGCTCTGACTGCTGCTTTTCTGGGAGCCACAGCTTTCCTCCTGGGACTGTAGGACCCTGGCACGAGCAGTGTGAAATAGTTTATGGATAGGTGCTAAAACCTTTAGTGATGGGTGTGTATCCAGCATCCATCCCTCTCTGCAGAGATACAGATTCTCTCCTTCAAATTTTTTAATCTATTCTTCAGAATAAAACTTCCAGCCCCTTGCCTTGTTTTGTGGTCAAAAGGGATTGTTGATCAAAGTGACCTGAGAGGACTTCAGGGGTAGCCAGCACTTAGCACTCATCCATGAAGGGTTACAGCTGTTCAGCCAGTCCTGAGTTTGTCTTTCACCTGCAGGAGTGCTTTGCCATGTCCTGCAAGCTCAAAATCCCAAAGCTTCTCCTTGTATTCCTGTAAATACTGTGCTTTTCTCAAGTGTGAGGAAAGTGTGGTCATTTTTAAATAAGCACGTGGCTGCACACCAAAGGCCTGCACTGCTTGTGTGGCATAACCCCCTGAAGTGGTTTGAAGTATTTACCTAGCAAAGACAAGGCAGTAAAACAAAAAGCCTCTCTAGGTAAGGTTGGTAGGAAATTGCAAGGGGAGATGTTTACAAGAAGCTGCAGTCAGCACTGTGGGGTCAGCTCGGCTGGGTAGGCTGACCTGGGGCTGACAGGAGATGCAGAAGCACCAGATGTGAAGAGTGTGGAAGGAAATCAGGCAAAAATGGTCCAGCATCTTGTCAGATGTGTTAAAAGCTAGGAACAGAGGAAGATCTGTTGGGTTTTGAAACTCACTTTGGGGTTATGAAGTTCATATTTTTCAGTTGCTTGGGTTGATTCCTGTGCTGAGAAGAGCCTGGCAGGACACTTAGTGCCACCTTTTTCCTCTAGAGTTACATGGTTCATCTCCCAAACCCAAAACTTGAGGGTTCTTTTCTGGGTGAAGATACCACTAGCAAAATGTTCTTGGGTCTGCAGCCTGCATTGCAGCTGTGCTACAGGATGGTGAAATAGATTTGTTGCAGGGCTGCCTCAGGAATGGTTCTCACCACAGCAGCTTGCCTGGAAAATATGTTTACATTGGACAATAGGAGGAAATTCTCCCCTGTGAGGGTGCTGAGGCCCTGGGACAGGTTGCCCAGAGAAGCTGTGGCTGCCCCATCCCTGCAGGTGTTCAAGGCCAGGCTGAATGGGGCTTGGAGCAACCTGGATTAGTGAAGGTTCTTTAAGGTGTCTTCCAAACCAAACCATTCCATGATTCTATGAAGGAATATCAAGCCAATGTGCTTTGATCTGTGCTAGCATTCCTGAGGAGTGGGGATCTCAGAAACTAAGTTTTCCACTGATTTAATACAACCTCCATCTGACAGCATGTCTGACACTCTCAGAGTAAACAGAGATCTCTTTGCAACTTTTCCCTTTAGGACAGCGAACTCCTGACATTCAACATCTCCCGGCACCAATCCTGGTGGAGTGAAAATGGCCCTGGCTGTGTAAGGAAGGAGGCTTCAATGTCTGGCCTCAAGGGGCTGGATAACCATTCCTACATCTCTGTCATCGGCTGTGCCCTGGAGTACCGGTACATCGAGGTCATGCACAGCTCCTTCCAGATCCTCATCGCGGTGAGTGCCTCGCGGGGGGCGAGCAATTCCTCAGGAAATGCTGCTTGGTTTGGGGGTTTTTTCCAGCCACAGGGCTTGGCCTGTATTTTTCAGCACTTCTTGTATCACCTGATTCCAAAAGTGTCTGTGAACGAGTTCTGTTTGATTGTTCTGCTGTTCTCTTGTACAAAAAATACTCCTTGGAACAGTTGGGAATGGGTATCAGCAACCTGATGCCTGAAGTAATGCATCTTTGCAATCATGCAGTAACAAAGGTTCTGAATCCCTGTTGGGGTGTGGGAATTCATGTTTTGACAAGGACAGAGACCTTTCTGGAGGAGGGTCAAAAGCAAGAGTTTTGACAGGACAAGAGGAAATTACACCAAATTGCACTGGGGAGGTTTAATTTGGATACTGGGGACAATTTCTGCATAGAAGGGGTGGTAAAGCACTGGAGCAGACTGTTCAGGGAAGTGGTGGAGCCACCATACCTGGAAGTGTTCAGAAAATGTGTGGATATAGCACTTTGAAGACATGGTTTAGTGATGAACGAGGTGGTGATGCTGGGTTGATGACTGACTTGATCTTAAAAGGCTTCTTCCAGCCTTAATTCCATGCTTCTATAAGTGATGATATTCTCTGTACATCTGCAAAACACCACTAAGGGCCAGATGGGGAGACAAGAGGGAAATACAAGACAAAACAGGATTTAGGGAAATACTTTCTTGCTCTTTCTCTCTGAGATTTAAGGTGCAATAAATTGTTGAGTCCTAAACCCTGGAAAAGGGGTTAAAATATGTGTAGGCAAGAAACCCATATGGGCTGGACTATGCATTGAACCAAATTTCTACTTGTCTTGTAATAAAAGCAGAGTATTGAAGCCCCAGATCTGTAACTGCTGCTGGCTCTGAAATGCTCATGTAATTTTGTCATGCAGTGGGAGGAATGGAGCTTTTCCCCTTTTCTTTGAGGTCAGGCAAAAAGCAAGTCTTCCTTCTCCCTCATACCTTGCCTGAAAGCAGTCAGCCAGTTCTCTCCCTTTTTACTCTCTGAGGGTCAAACTCTTTGATCCCTGCCAGTATCTTTTTCTGTTCTCTTTATCTCACTTTGAGGCAGGTTTTATTGCGGGCAGCTGTCCCCAGAGTGCTGGCAGGTACAGTGCTGCAGACAGGCAGGGACACAGATCAATAGCACAAAAACACAACCAGCAACTTGAAGGCTCAGGGGATGCAGCAAGAGACATGACCTAGTTCCCTCCTTGTCTGAGACCAGAATTGTCAGTTCCCTGTTAGGAAGGGCAAGGGACAGGCAAAATTGTGCTTTCAATAGTTCGGTTTTGCTTTGTCTAACTGTTTTTAGAAGTTAGACAAAAACTAACTGGGGTGAGGGGATTTGGTTTTCACCCCAGATACAGCACTGTGAAACCCACGCTGTTTGAATATGCAGTGCCCAACTGTATTTTATTTTATTTTTCTGGAAGTTCCAATTCCTTGAGACTACTGAGGGACTTGAGTCCTGAGGGACTGTACTGCAGTGTTGTGTACTTGGGGCAAGGCTCCCTGAATTCAGTCTTGCATGCCAAAGGAGAGGGAAAGCAAACCTGGCCCCATATGGTGAGCACAGTGTTGGCTGTCAGCTTGACTCCTGCTGATTATATCATCCTGCTCCTGGGCATACATTTGAGGATACATAAGGTCTCAGTCTGCTTTTGCCCAGAGCTTGTCTGTACTCCTTGAAGGCAAAAGCAATTCCTTTAATCTGGAACGCAATCAAACTTGGGCATATTAGTCACCACACATGATACAAGTTGCTGTAGGGTCCAGTGTGAAAATTTTTCCTCAGTGCTTTAGCACAAAACACATCAGAGGTAAAAGCTCTTTGTGGCAACATCTAAAAGTCTGTCCTGGTGTAGAAATGAATTGTAAAGATAATCCTACCAACCCAGGTAGGAAATGCAGCAGCAGCTACTTTGTCAAGATGAGGATCTGCTTTGCTTTTGCCTCAGCAAGGATTCATCTTGCACGTCCCCAGCTCGCCAGCCAGCAGGGAGGGGAGCGATTCCCAGTTCTGAAATACCTGGCATAGCTCTGGGCTGTCCATATGGTACTTCTGGGAGTGGGGAGGGTTGGGCTTTTCCTGAGGCTCCACTGAATGGGGTAGAAATTGGAAATGTCTTCCCAGCCGCCAGAACTCGCTGCCTGCCTGTCTGTTGTTTTCACTCAGACTGACAGGTTGGAAGGTTCCCAGGGAGGCAGCAAGGCAAGCCTTGACAGCAGATGTTATGTGAGAACCAGTGCACAAGAGATGCCTTGCTCTTGGCAGAAGGTAGATTTTCAGTGGTTGTAATTGCATCCAAAGAGTAAAGAAGGTCAAGGAATTAAAGGATTTTGATTGCCTCTCTTTGGCTATCTGGTCACAATAGCTCTTTCACAGGCTGGATTTTTGCTTTCTCATAGCAGAATTCCCTTCATTTCTCCCTCTTGCACTGGTGTCAGTGTGCACCTTTTGTTAGCTCTGATTAGAAATAAAACCTAGAATGCATCTACCCTAAAAGAAAAGGCTTTGCACCTCTTCTGTGTGCTGGAAAAAGCAGTGGCTTTTTCATCTATTGTGAGAAGAGATGGAGAATCTTCGCTAGGACAGAGGGAGACTAAAGCTAAGATCTTACACAAGTAACAGTAACACCTAAAATTTGCCTTCCCATCCTTTGTGTATTTTGCACACTTGCAGCCAGCTGGTCCCTTTCTCCAGGTTTTTCTCTAATTTGCTCTTTCTGGCTCCCCTGCCTTCATTCAGCGCTGCTGTTTTATGAACAGCTTTCAACTCTCCATTAAAAAAGTTAACTTCAGAGGACTGAGGGGCAGGGGGATGCTCAGCCATATGTTTCCCTCATTCCCTTGGGGCACACTTGTCTCTTCCTGTCTTTCCCACTCTGTTTGCCTGCAGAGTGCTTGGGGCACCCCAGCTCCATCCTCTCTTGTGGGGCAGTTCCCAGGCTGACAGAACACACCTGCCCTCAACATGTGTTCCTAATAAAAAGCTTAATCGGATCCTTCTGCAGCTTGGAGGAAGCTGGTACTGCACATGCAGAACAAGCAGAGAAACAGCAGCACGGGCTAAAGCCCTAGAACATTCTTTGGGGAATTAGAGCAGTGGCTTAGTGTCATTTTACATCGCTGACGTTTTCCCTCCTCTTCCACCTCCCCGATGTAATTTGCAAAGATACAAGAATTTCCCTGGGATACAGAGCTTAAACCCCTCCTGTGTATTGAAAGCAGCAGCCAGGATGGCACTTGGAGCAAGGATGAAATTATTCCAAATTGTTGGCTTCTCTGAAGCTTCCTGTTCTGTGTTAATTGCTGATAAACTGGGTGATGTGTGGGGGCTCAACACATCGTTATCAAAGATGAAGTCAGAAGGGAATTTCGGGTGTTTCTTGGAGTCTGCTCATTCCACACTCCAGCAGGCTTTTCCAGGGGAAACACTGGACAACAGGAGCAGCATTTCTCCTCCCTAGCTGTGTTTCATTTATAATTTATTCCAAAGGTGAGACATGGGGATTCCCGTGAGTTCAGTTAATTCTTGAGATTATTTAATTTGAGGTTATTTAATTACAGATGAATGTTTTAGAGTATTTAATTACAGTTTAGGTCAGCACAGAAAAAAAATGGAATTCATATTTATGTTGTATATCTCTTCCCCCCTTGCCACTGAAACTCCTGCTCTGGTCAGATCACAAGACAAAGCTTCTTTGAATAAAAAGTTCCATTAAATAAACAAGATTTTTTTATTGCTGAAACACATGTAAAGAAGGAATGGACTATAATGTCAATATAAAGTAAAGTAAGCAGATGATTTTGAAACACAGCCAGGAGATGGATGGAATCAAAACCAAAAATCCTCCACTGCAATGGAGCTGGAATTAGAGATTTAGGGAAGTTCTCTTAATTCACTAGTTTTTGATTGGTTGGTTCTTCTGAATGCAAAAAAAGTCACCTTAGTCATAAAGTGAAAAATGTATGGGGTGAGCAGAATGATGGTTGAGGGTTATGGGGCATTAATTTCTGTGCAAAACAAACTTCCCAAGTCAATCACATTGCTTGGTGCTTCTGAACCGTGAAAAATGTCCAGCACTTTATCAGATTTGCTGTGACAGTACAGCTGATAATCGCTCCCAACTCTGCTCAGAAACTGGGCAGGTAAATCATTTTCATTGTTAATTCTATCAAGAGTTTCCTGACACAGGTACCACATAAGATTTGCGTCTGTGTGTTTAGAGTATAATAGTGGAGAGTGGATTTAGGGCTGCCACTTTGCATGGCTGTTAACCCAATGATGGGAAATCTGAGGAGGGAGAAAACCGGCCTAGAGTTCCCTTGGAATCAGGGTGTGTATTCAGGATGCATCTTTCCTGTCTGGATATTTGTGTGTTTGTGTAAATTGTGTGATTTGACCTGATGTAAGAGGCTGGATCTTACAACTATAAAAATGCTCCAGCAGGTACAGAGGATGAGTGTGAGCACACTCCGAATTTGTTACTTGAGTTCAAATGCCTTTATGCTGGAGATCAGGGTGCAGAAGGGTGGTTGGACATCCCTTGGGACGTGCAGGAAGCACTCTGTTTATGCGAGAACATCTGGACCAGATCCCGCAGCCCAGGGATGAGCGGGTGGCTCCCGGGAGCGGCCTCGGGGCTTCAGCACCACGGCCAGAGCCCGGGCCGGGCCGGGGCTCCTGCGATCCTTTGGGCTGGGAAAGCTGCCCAAGACCCTCCAGCTCCCCCAGCACTGCCGAGCCCACCACTAAAGCTGTCCCCAAGTGCCACATCTACTTCTCTTTTAAATCCCTCCAGGGATGGTGACTCCACCACTGCCCTGGGCAGCTGTGCCAGGGCTGGATAACCCTTTTAATTATGAAATATTCCCCAATATCCAATCTAAACCTCCCCTGGCACAACTTGAGAACATTGACAACTTGACAACATTTCCTGTTGTCTGATTGTTTTTTGGGAGAAAAGAGAGACCCTTACCTGGCTACAACCTCCTTCCAGGGAGTCACAGGGAGCATTAAGGTCCTTCCTCTGCTTCCTTTTCTCCTGAGCTCCCTCAGCCATTCCTTATCAAACTTGTGCTCCAGATCCCTCCCCAGATTTGTTGCTCTCATCTGCCCAAAAACTGCCACAAACTTCAGGAAAAAAAAAAACCAAGTTCCAGATTTTATTGTGTTACACTACAAGCAATGTAGAGGAAAAATCTCTGATATTGTTTGGTTTTCATTTGTCCCCCTTAAACAGTAATAGTTCTATTCTGAGACAATTCTAGAAGGCAGCAGGTACAATTAGATTGGCCATTGCATGTGGCCAGAGGATTTATGTTTCCCTGTAGCTCACAGGAGCTCAGCCTGAAGCAGCCTTGGTTTCAGAAATGCAGAGGAACGAGGGAGTCCCCAGAGCTACCCTTCCTCCACTGAGCTTCTGGGATGTGCTCCCATAAGGCTCACCCAAGAGGAAAGGGGCGAGCTGCCTTCTCTTTCAGATGATTATAGAAAAATCTTCAAGGAAAAACAGGGTTTAGTGATTCTACAAAAACATTCCATTTCCTCCCAACACAGTGTGTTTTGTCAGGGAGAGCTGGAGAAACCACAAATGTTGTATAACTCCCCAGCAGAAATCTCATTATCTTGCCTTTTGTTTTCGGGTGTGATGTATTTTTCTGTCATGTTAAAAATGAATGGACTCTACTTTTCAAGCCCTCCCATGCATCATTCTGTCTGCACTTGGAGTGAGTCACTGTGTGTTACAGGCTGACTCCTGTTCCCAGGAATTGAGCTCACAGTGGAAAACAATTATGCCTCACAATAACTTTACTAACACAGTTACTGTCAACCAAGATCTCGCTAAGTGGGGTGTTTCGTAAAGATGTAAAATGAAGGATGGAGAGGATATTTGATTAACAGAGAGAAGGCAAAGCAAAATAAGACCCTGATGCATCTGGAATGCTTAACTCCCATAGTACCAGAAGTTTGTCTCTCTATTTAGGCTGAGGAACACCTTGATAGTGAGCCTGAAGGAGGCAGCTCTGATGCTTTAGAGCTTCTAGAAACTCCTGAGTTACTAAAGATTTTGGTGTCTCTGAACATTTCTGCCAGTACAGCACCATTCTTATGGTTAACTAATTTTCTATCTCATCTGCATAAAAACTACTCACCTCTAATTGGTAATTTACCCCATATGGCAGGAATGCTGAGCTGATGAGTTGTTGTCATTGAAACTCTGTGTCTCCTGTACATTGCTGTTCGTCCCACAAGGCCCTCTCCTGTGTCCCCATCACTTCTTACTGAGAGTTAGCACAGGAGTTTCAGTTGCAACAAAGCCAACCCATGTTCTTGCCTATCTTTCAAGTGACTGATGGTGCTACTCTGAAGGTGAGGATGGGTCTTACAAGTTTTCCTCCTTTGGGTGTGCTCCATCAGTGCCTTCCCTGACACCCACACCTGCCCCAATCCCTACAGCAAACATGACTTGGCTCCACAGTCACAGAAACACTGCCAAGCTGACTGTAAATAGTGCCTGTTGAAGTTGTGCCCAGTGGGTTCTGACCAGGCTCACACTGGCTGATGCTAAAATGATTTATTCTCTCTCTTTTCCAGCTGGTGGGTTTTGTGTATGCCTGTTACGTGGTTAGTGTTTTTACAGAAGAAGAAGACAGCTGTAAGTATTTATCAACAGATCCCTTGGCAAAGGTTTTAGTAAATTTTATTTATCTCTCAGATATTTGTCTGTCAGGTCTGAGCTGCCATCAGACCTCTTTCCATCTCTGTCTCTGTGTGTTATGGCACTAACTAGCCCTTCAAGGATCAGCTATTTTTACTGTGAGGGTTTCTTTCCCTGTGTCACTCTGTGTTAGATGCTGTAATTCTGCTACACTTAGAGCACAAAAAGAGCTTGGTTTTGGCTTCTCAGCTGGACTAAGCCTTAGAGAAACTGGGAAGCTGCTTCTGTTCTCAGGCTCATATAGCCTGAGAATAATGGTTCTGAAATATTACTGCTGCGATTAAAAGCACCTACAACAAAGCTTTCAGCCCAGGGCTCAAGTGGGAGACCTGCTGAGTCTCATGTGCCACAAGCTGAGGATGAAGCAGATCATGAGAGTTCTTGCCAAGAATCAATCTGACCACTCAATTTAAGAGCAGAGGAAATGCTGTATTTGAATTACAAGGAGGAAGGAGCCAGCTCCCTCGTGTTGGGTGCACAAATCTCTTCAGTGACAGGCAGTCACTGTGACACGCGTCAGGGTAAAGACTCACTGGTCTGTGGGACCTGTGCAGGTACCCAGCTGGTCCTGGCGTGCTCTGTCCCTCTAAAACACCTTTTGAGACCAGTAATTTTACAAACAGAGAAATGGATGCATAGAGTTAAAGTGAATGCAAAGTTAGGTTTGTGTGGCAATGTGTTGGGTCTAGGCCAGTTTACTCCAGCAAAGGATTTCATCCAAAGGTTTTACATCCAAGTATCAATTCTTTTAAGGCATTGATTAGGTTTGTGCAAGTAGCTTTGTTGTTTTAAAGAGCAGCTGGCATGGAGGAGAGCTGGAAAACAGCAGCTTTGAACTGAATATTTGAAAGTATGTGAAGAATGTGTTTTCATAGGAGCGAGAGGAGATGCATTACTTATCTGCCTTGTCCTTATGTTTTTTTCTTCCTTCCTTCCTGGCTGAACTCATTCTCCTGGTTTATTGATCATTTCTTTAGAGCTTGGCAATGCACTTAGAGAAGGTGCTACATTATAGTAATATCTTTTAAATTAGGCTATACTCTTCTATTAGCTAAATAGCTGCAGTTCTGAGCCCCTGCTGAATATTGTAAAGCAATAACTTGACAGAACTCATTTTTATAGTAGGGATCTGTTAGGAGAGCAACAACATGGAAGGCAGCTTTATCTAGGAAACACAGAGCTAGTAATTTCAGGATATGTATTTTTTTTCCCCCACTAACAAATTCACTTTCACTCCCAGTTTCTCAGCTTGGAGTTAAAATGCCAGCTTGAATAATTAACAATGACAAACCATCAATATTTCACACTCACAGGGGTAGATCCTTCCAGTGACCTGAATAAATTTGAGCTGCGTTTTAATTTTCTCTTCCATTTGTGGTTTCCTTTAAATGTTGCTTTGATATGCAGCATGAAGTAATTATAAGTGCTGAGGCACATTAATCAGGAAGCTCATGCTAACGTGATTTTCATGAGAAAACACAGCAATAGGGACCTGCTAATGCTGAATTGTGGGCAAGAATATTTTAGATGTGCTAATGCAATGTATTGAATCACAAGGAACCACACTTAAGATTTTTTCTTTTTTAAGTGCCTTGGATTTTGAGTGCCCTCATGCTTGCATGTTCAGATGATAAGACTTGTGTTTGTTTAAGGTACTCAATAGTTACTGAAAATTGCTGTTCTTTCAAGTTTCCCAATTTAGGCATTCCACAACTGAGGTAATAAAGTTAAATTCTTGTTTATTTTTTTAAAAAATGGCAGCCTGTTTTGATTTTAGAATACTCAAAACGCTTTCAAAAGTGTCTGAGAAAAGGTAGTTTCACTGAAAATATTTGGGAATTATCCCCACAATTAACTTAGAACTCTACAGATTTTACCCATTACCTCTCAGTTGTCCCAAAATCTCAGTACCAGCATGAAGCTCTCCATCAAGATGGAATTTGTCAGAATCTGTTGTCCTTAGGTTTCTAAATATATTTTAAGAAGTTTTGGGGGTTTTTTTACATCCAATATATCAGTAAATATTTTTTCTATTGTTTGATCAACAAAAAACCTCAAACCTCTTCAGCTTAAATTTAAAATAATAGTGCCATCTTCAGGAAGAAAAATAATCAGGCACTGAAACAGTTAATAAAACTCTCCAGTTATTTTTAAATGGCACTTGGACAGGATGGTTTTCACACTTCCATACACAATGTACTAACTTGGCACCAAAAAATGATCCAAGCTGGGTCTGTTTTAAAGGGTTTTACAAGGCCTGTGAGGTCAGTCACAAATCAGAGCAGCTCACACCCCTCCTGCCCTGGCTGTGCTGCAGGCTTGGCCTGAAGTCCAGGGAACTGAGACAGCCTTGGAAAATTCTTCCCTGGTTACTAAGGGAATTGTCACTTCGAACTCTCCCTGCTGAGTTACGCTGCCCTTCCGTGAGCACTGGAGAAGGGAAGCTTTGTTCCTGTTTGGGCACAATTAAAAGAAATTGAGTTGGCAGAGGGGACACGAAAAATACCAGAGCTGGAGATAATGAGGTGGTTGCAGTTTTCCAAAGCTGCTGTTGTCTTGCAGGAGAGACAAGTGGGGTAAGAAAATTCCCACTTCCCTGTGTACCCTTGCTGGGGAGGGTTGTGCTGCCAGCTTCTCCCTGGCATTCGCTCAGGAGCCGTTCCCCAGCTTCCTCTCCTCGGCTCCAGCTTTGTCTGCTCCTCTCACGTGCAGTCACAGCGTGGTGGTAATACCCAAGGAGGCTTTTCTAGAGTATTTTGTTAGTTCTGCTTTAAGTTTTGCGTTAGCTGAAATCTCCTCTTCGGCACGCTTGCCCATCCCAGGAAATCCATACCTGAAAAAATCACTTTTCTGTTCTGTCACTAATTTTTGTTTATGCCATGACATGCACCAAGCCTTTCTTTCATTTCCTTTCAACTTTCTGGCCATGTTTGTTTGTTTATTTGAGTTTTGATTTTTTTTCAGTTGATTTCATTGGTGGATTTGATCCATTTCCTCTCTACCATGTCAATGAAAAACCCACCAACCTTTTGTTCAAGCAGACATACCTGTAAGTATCATCTGTGCTAAGAGACTCCACGTGCTTCTTGGTTTCATGGCTCAAGGGTACCACAGGTTTGGGGTTTTTCCTCTTTGTAGGTTGATTTCTCCAACAGGCTTTTCAGGCATGGAAATAATGAAGAAATGGAGACCAGAAGCTTCCAAGGGTGAAGCTGCCCTTTCTCAGCTCCAAAATCATTTTAAATTCTGTTGCCACCAAGAACTGAGCATTCCACATGTGGGGCAGCCCAAGAGTTCAGCTGAGAGCAGAAAGGGGAGTTGTCCACAGCAGCTTCTCTCCTACCAATAATGAAGGGCCACTGTTGAATTCCCATTTCTGCCCCCTGAAGCACCAGATCCCAATTTCACTCTGTCCACTTAAAAGCTGGCTCTTAATGAGATCCTCAGACACAAAGGCCAATTCTGCCTGTTTAAAGCAGCAGAGATCTGATTTTATATTCTTTAAATTGATCTGCAAGAGGCAGTTCAACACATGGAAGGTTTTTACAGCAGCTGCTGAGGGAGGCTGTTTTTCAGGAACAATGTTACCAGAGTCCTGCCAAAAAGAAGAATGTGAAGATGGTGGAAAGGAGTGGGGCTGAGGGAAGGAAAACTTGCCTGAGGTAGATTGGTAGATGTGCCCCTCTAATTTCATAAGGACTTACTGCCCACTTTGTCACTGCAGCACAAGATCAGGAATACAAGTAATTTTTGCAAAGCTATTGAATTCCCTGTAACTTTGGGGGGTTCTATGGTGTTATTACAAGGGATGCTACAGGAGATTAAATATTGATTTCTCTCTCATTTTGTCACAGTGGGGTGGAATTTTTCATAGTCTGCAGAACGGTGCAGCTTTAAGCAGCTCCCTGATTTACTAGCTGGATGCAGCAGCAGGCTGAAGAAGCATCACATTTTCACAGTGCAGGGGTTGGGCTTCTTTTTTCTTAAAATGACCAGTTCTGCTTGTGAAAGAAGCTATCACTTCTAAATGAAGATTCCTATATGGGGAGATTGCAATTTGAAGAGAAGTTAGCAATGTAAAACTTTCTTCCAGGGCCTCAGCAAGAGGGGAAGCTGCTGTTCAAGTCCACAGATAATTTTGTCGTTCCTCCCTCCCATTCTTTAGCCCGTCACTTCTGTTTATATTTTCTACCAGCACAAAATAATATTTCTTTCAGGCTAACAGGAGGTGAAAACAACTGCTGAGCTGTAGATAATGTGACCCTCTATAAATTTCAACTGCCACCAAATAGCAATTTTTATTTATTTATTTCAGCCTATTGGCTTTGTTCCATGTGTGTGAATGGGAGTGAGGGGAGGAAGGGAGAATTGATTCCCAGGTGCCATGGAGTGCTGCAGATGCCCTTGTCCTGCTGTGAAAATCATTTAGTGATGACTTGAAGGAATTTTTTTTTTTTCCATATCCTATTCAAGAAGATGTGAAACAACAAATACATCCAATGTATTTGGAACTAAGTTTAGAGAAGAGCTAAGGATCAGGAACTTGGGTTTCTTGTTTGAACTCCTTTTTGTTGATGGAAATGCTGAATGAAACCAAATTTATTCTAGAACTGATCACTTGGAGCTGACTGCAAGCAGTAACTTTCATTTTAGAATGGCATCACCCCCTTGGCTGCAGTCAGATGCATTTTCTGGGCTCCACACTTCTCTAACAGGATCTTTCCTTCATTCCCCAATGAAATTATCCTATTCACTCCAGTTTTACCTTTCCCTTTCTCATGAGATCACACTTCCCTCCCACTGTGCCCATTCCTGCATTTTTCTCTAGTCCCTCCTCTTCATATCTCTGAATTTAGGAGTTTTTAGAGACCTGAGACCCCACAGATCAATTACATGAGCTGCTAAATTCAGCATTCAAACTGTGCACCCCAGTTCTGGCCCTCAGCTCCCAGCCACAGCAGTGAAAGAAGTTCTGGAATACCTTTGTCTCCTGCTAGGAGGAAAAAACACCACCTCAAACTGTTACTTTAGGTATTTTCATGCCATAATTCAGTTACATCCCAGCTTTATCATAATGATCTCCCTGACCTCAGCTGCAAACCTCCAGTTAGTGGAAAACCACAAATTTTTCAAGTCAGGTATTATTTTTCTCTTTGCAAAAAAAGCCACCAACAACAATAAACCATCATTTTGTACTGTTTTTACAAAGGCAAGATATAAGAGTGCTCATCTCAAACCACACCTTGAACACACTAATGCAGCAAATAATATTTTTATTATTCTAAAAATAAAGTTATTTCTGTTTCAGGTTCCACAACTGCTTTTGCTCCACATTTCATTGACTCCAGGGGAGTTTGATTATGATAGTTACTGTTTGAAGTCACAGCCTTAAGTAAAAGAGGCTCAAATTATCATGAAAAAAATTCTTCTGGAAGTTTACTGTGCAAAAGAACTGCCCTTAATCTCACTGCTGGTTGCCAATCAAGGCATCATACTAATTATTTAATAATAATATAATAGCACTCTTGATAGAAGATATGTTAAAATCTTCACTGCCTGAGTTTCTGTGTCAAAGTACTTATCCAAATCACTTCTGGAAAGACAAAGTTGTTTGCCTGAGGCTAAAAGAGAGGATTTCCAGTGAGTTTTTAGGAAGAAAATGTTGAACTCTTTCTCCTCCCTCAAGCACAAGTTCAGGTTGTGCCTGCTGGCACCACTGTCTCCCCTTGTGCTGCACAGCACAGGACCTCAGCTCTGGGTTGCTTTTCTTCTTGTCTGTTCATTTGTAGTAACAGAATTCTCATCACTTGAGGCAAAAAACCCACATTTTTTCACCAATAACTGTGGAAGTGCTGGCCAAGCTGGCTTTGACATTTCTCACTCAAGCTGTTCTCTCCAAGCCCCTGCACTACCTGCCAAGTACCCAGAGCATCCTGAGAATTTGTCAGCACCTCCTGCCTGCTGAATCCTTTCAGTTTCCTGACATCACTCTCTGAATTTGTTTTGGAAAGCAGCACTGTGCAATCTCAATTATAAAGCAGAATAGCCTCAAAGTGTGATTTTGTACACAGGGTAGTGCTAAATCAAGAACCTACTGGATGACAGGAGATGCCCTCTGTTTATTTAAAACGTACAGATAGATCTTCCTGCCTTTTAAGACCGTGTTTCTAAGGCCAAGCAGTGAACTGCACCTTTAACTAACACTCCTCTGGCACCTCAAGTACTACACCACATTACAGGCTTAAGAGCTTTAATTTGATTTGTGTAGCCAGATTTTATGGACTTCCCTTTCCTCAGAAATAGCAGTGGAAAGGGCCCTGTGTTAACCCAGGGTGTGACTTTTATCAGATGGAGACCTCAGCATTGACAGGGCAGCAACAGGAGGTATTGGTTAATTGAGGGATCTGAGGCTCCAGTTGGCAATTGCTCATTTTAATGATCCCAGATCAATCTTTTTTTGGGGCACTGTCTGCTGGCCACAGGCATGAAGCAGCTGTGAGGATTAAAGGACTGGTCCCCATACCACCATCATCCCTTACTGGCTTCAAGTGGGTTCTTCAATACACCAATATGTACAAGCACACAAATAACATTAAGCCAAAAAGTCAGAATCCAAGACTGAAACACTGGAATAAGAAGAAGGGGAAGGAAAACTTCTTTAGAACTGTTTTCCCACCTATCTTCTCCAAACTTTAACAAACAGAATAATTTACAAAGGAAATTTAAACAGGAAAAAAAAATCACACTTTGTTCTGAGGAGAGAAAAAAAACACAAAACAAAACACTTCTGCTTCTCTTTCTAGGTAGACTTTTTCCCAAACAAACAACATGAATTTGCAAACTCTTTTGATCATCCTGAAGCTGCATGCATAAGAGGTGATGTTTCAGCCAAAAGCATTCACTCACCTTTACTGCTGGCTCCAAAAGTAGATCTGCTTATCCTGCTGCACTACACAAAAAGCACATCACTGCAATTTCAAGCAGCTCTTTATCCTAGAGATGACCCTTAGCTTTTTAAGTTCCTAACCAAATTTTATGCAGCTCCAAATGCTGAGGATACATAGATCTAACACTTGAGCCTAACTGCAGCATATTCAGGTCTGACATATGCATAGCATTCTTTCCAGGCTTGAAGACTACTTAACTACATTACTTCTGAGCTCTCAATCCTATTCCTCATCTGTAGTCAATCATATTTGAAAGACCAGAAGAGGAAAGAAAAAATTGTCCTCATTATTTTCACACCATTTCTGTTCCATAAAGAAAGCAATTGAGTACTTGCTCCACACTCACATCCTGCCTTCACCTTTCTCCCCCCTTTTATAGGCCTGCGTAAGTGAAGAGGAGCCAGAGGATGGATAAACCTTGCACTCCACCAAAGGTGCTGCAGGAAACAGTCCCCTGGGGCCTGGATCTTTGGCAGAGGAAATGCAGGATGGTGAACTCCATTCCATTTTTTTGTTCCTTGTCTTCTTTCCAAACGCAATGAATGTACATCAAAGAATGGCCACACAGTTGGTTTTTAATTAATTCTCCAAGTGCCCTGACGAACCTTTCCTACCACAGTCTGCTGGTACTGGCCCAGAAATGGCACAGGCCTAAAGACCTCTGGCAGAACAAGTTCACCAAGAGCCTCTCCCAAGAGCTACAGGTGAAGTCGGAGCTGCTTCCTTGCGCCGTGGATCCCGAAGGAAGGAAGCAGCGCGTAACCTCCTGGGACATTTCGTATGTTCTGTAGTTAGTTTCCTCCCCTTTTTCTGAACAGAGCCTAAATCCCCTAACACAACTTCATCTCCTCCCTGCCTGTATAAAAATGAGGTGGGGGCTCTTCACACTTGAGTTCCTTAGGCATTGTTGGGTTCTAAGTTATAGATGAGAACTTTTCCCTTCTGTGTCCCGCCCGTGCAGGAGCCCTTGCTCGTTCTCCGTAGGCATGGCAGTAGGCATTTGTCCTGAGTTCAGTCTCTGTGGCCTAACTCCCGTAATGCTGAACAGCTGAAAACTAGTCCAGCCGTCAGCTCTTCACTCAGCATGCAGCTTCACCCCGTTTCAACCACCTGAGCCATTCTTGGAGCAGCTGTAGCTTACTCTGGGTCTGCCCAGCTACATGAAATTAACCCTGGTGTAGCTGAATCCTGCCACAGGCCGCTGGAAAAGGCCAGTTCCTCATGGATCAGAGGTGGGTTTGCACCTGCCTTCTTCACCTTGAGCCACACCTATTCCATGGTAACAGCCTGATGGAAGAGTTTCATTTGTGACAGGCTTTTTGAGGGGAGGGAAAGGGCTGAAGGGGGAATGAGAGTGTAATTAAATTGCATTAATGAGCTGCAGCAATTAATAAGAAGAACAAAACCAAGTCAGTTTTGTTAGCTGTGTCTCCCAGCATGTTAAGTGTCAAAAGCAGAAAAGGAGCAGTTGTCAGCCAGCCCTGGCATTTTTGGGCTGGTACTTCAAGTGCTGTTGTAATTCATTATTGTCTTGCCTAATTTGTTTGGGATTACTTGGCATTTTTTGAGAAATGCTTTTCAGAAGGGTCAAGCTCGAAGCCATGCTAGGGAGAAGTGTGAGGGAAGAATTAAGAAAAAAAAAAAAGAAAATAAAAACATTAAGTGCTAAATCAAAGACAGAATTATGCAGGTTTTTTTGTCTCATTCCAAAGGGCCCCAGAAGAAAAATCCTGTTTTATAAACCCAGATGTATAAGTGCTGAGTATTTTTTGCTTCTGTGTGACTTCTATTCCAGATACCCAGACATCCTGAGCTCTGCTTGGGTGCAGCTGCAAGTAAAAATGTTGTTTTCTGTAGGGTGTTTTTCCCCTTCTTTTAGCCACCAAAAGCCACAGCTTCTGACTGAGCAAAACAACAACTAGTTTCATCATAGTTTAATACCTTTAGATGGTAAGAGGAGGAAACTTCTGGAATTGAGGTCTGCATGTTTTTAACACTACACCTCTCCACCTGACCAAGCTCTGATGCCACTTTCAGCAATAAAACTGGTCAAAACTGCTTGCCAAGAACTCTAAAGAGATAAAGCACCAAACTATGCACTTAACAGCATTGCCCCTTGGTTTTAACACACACTGGTAAAGATCAATGAAATAAAAGTGTGATGACTGAGTCACTTCAGAACTACCACTCAGTTGTCTGTGTCCATTGTAGCATAAAGCAACAATTAATAGAAGTAAAATAAATACCAAGCCCATATTCACGTAAGTCTATAATATTCAGCATCAATGACTGCCATTAATCATAAGGAAAAAAAACCAAAACAGTCTGAGAAGAAACAAAGCTACTAAGGGTCATATTCCACACTTAATTATCTCCTCTGGGTTTCATTAGCAGAGCCATTGCTCCTCATGCCCTGAGAACCCCTCTCGTGGTCTGCTTGTGCCAGACCCACTCTGAGAGGCACAAGGTGACCCAGTGACCCTGCTCTGCAAGGGCAGGGACTGCCCATTCACCCCATCCCATCCCCAGCCTGATCCAGGAGCAGCTGGAGGTGGTGGCTCCCCTTATCTCCAGTTTTGGAGTGCCCTCTGTTGGGGACAGACATCGCCAGAGATGCTTCTCGCCAAAGAACAACCTGCTTCTGCAAGGGCATTTCCCCACAGGAAAACAAACCAGCTCCTCCCTTTCTGGTGTGGAAAAGCCACCATTTTCACTCTGTTCAACGGGAGAAGCCCCAGAAATAGTTGGTGCATTTCCAGCCTCGCTTAGGTTCCAAGACACACTGAGATGAGTTTAGGAGGAAATAACACTGTTCCAGCACCGAGCTGGTGTTTTCCCTTCTCATATTAGCACTTCCATTTAAACTACAAGTTTTTTCTGTATTTATAGATGCAAAACAAAGCCAGTGATATGTTGAACCCAACAACACCTAATTTGGTGTGGTGGTGACATTCTGTTCCCTAGGAAAGCTGCTGTCTGACAGAGACCCAACCAATTCCTCCAAAAGTTGCAGAGTTTAAACCACTCAAGCTGTAATTTCTCTCATCTTTGCCAAGAGCTGCACTAATATTCCCTTCTTCTGAAGGCAAGGATGAAGAGAGCTGTCCTCCCATGGGATGCACAGAGAACTGACACCTTAAAATTACTCACAGGGAAGCCCCTAAGCTGTTCAGTAAAACCAGAGCTGGAACCAAAGAGAAGCAGTTCCAGAGCCACAAATACACTAAAGAGCCACCTACCAAAATTCTACAAGTTCAGAACAGAATTATTCTTCATTTGTACAACTTAATGTATCAGATCTTTATGCTCCTTCATCCTTATCCCTTCTTTTGCAGTTTAAGAGAATCTTGAGGAGCCAGATTCTTCCCTGTGAGGGCAGTGGGTCCCTGGCACTGGGTGCTCAGAGAAGCTGTGGCTGCCCCATCCCTGGAAGTGTTCATGGCCAGGTTGGATGGGGCTTGGAGCAACCTGGGATAGTGGAAGGTGTCCCTGCCCATGGATGGGGTATAGAATGAGATGAGCTTTAAGGTCCCTTCCAACCCAAACTATTCTAAGGCTCTGGGACCCACATGCTGTCTGGTAAATTCCAAAGGAAATTTGGCTACATGATGGAATATTCCACTTTAAATAATAATCACGAGTTTAGCCAGCAAACAGATGCTCTAAAAAGCTATGTTTCCAGAGCTGTTTTCTAGTAGGATAATACCCAACAGCCAGGGAAGAAGCTTCCAGGAGAGCATCCAGTGACCCTGAGCAAAAAGCCTTCCACCTGGGGAGGTCAGCTGAAAGCAAGGAGGTTGGAGAGTCAGGCCAGGCTTTTCCACTTAGTTATGCAAATTTTAGCATTACTGAAACATTTCATCAGTTGTTGAAAACTCAGCAAAAAGGGGAGAAAAGGGTAGATTCTCCCTCCCCCACAACACACTGCTGCTGAGTATTCTAGTCTCAATGGAATGCATTTTGTACAAAAAATACTCCCATTCTCAATCAAACTTCCTGAAGGAATCCCTAGCAGAATAATCTCTAGACAACTGCTGAGTGAGAAAGAACCAGAGTCTGCTGTAAACAGTCTTTGATTTCAACACAAAAAGCAAAGATTTACTTGAAAACAAAAAAATGTTAAGAAGGAGAATCTCTGTCAATAAAAGCCTCATTTTGGAGGACAAAAGAACTCAGCAGAGTTTTCCTGGAGCAGTCTTAAAGCAAGAGTAGGTCAAACCAGAAATTCTTCCTAGAAACACTGTGCATGGGAGACATTTAGTGAGTTTTTACATTTATACCAAGCTACCCTGCAAATAAGATTGCTCCAGCAAGCTATTTACTTATTTTCTCCTTCTGCTGAGTCACGAATGAGCTGTGCAGACTTATCTTTCCCCTTGGGTGCATCATGGCTCAGGACATGAAAGCTCTCACCCTCCCCTGGATGACAGCTCTGCAGATGGGACACAGCCTCAAATTGAGGGCACATTCTCCACAAGCTACCAGGTGGCCACAGGGAACAAACACAACAGACACATCTTTGTCCATGCACACTTTGCACATCCTCTCTTCTTGCAGGCGGCGGAGCTGTTCTTCTGTGCTCAGCTGAGACTCATCTTTACCAATAAAAGAAAAAAAACAAACAAAAGCCCAAGCTGTTAGTGCTGTCACAGCTCCAGAGTGCCAGTTGTGACAGCTTAGGAAGTCACACTGCAACTTGCCCATTGTTTTGTTCAGAGACAGTAAAGATGGCAAAAGTACCTCTCAGGCAAGTTTCATTTAAGCTGAAAAACTACAGCTATTGTAGACTGGCTTATCTACACAAGATTGAGTTTATCTACACATGCTGGACTGAGCAGGGACACAGCTCAACAGCATTTACTGTGGTACATAAATTATCCCCATAAACTAGATTTTTTTTGTAGCAGCTGCTTCACAGGGGCACTCCAATCCCTGTATAAGGGTTCCTGTGCTCAGGTACCACTAAACTAGCACACAGTCCCCTTCAAAATCAAAGAAATGAGTTAGCATAATGACTACTGATACTATTATTTTAGAATTCCTCTCAATTATGGTTAAGCTCAATTCCCCACCACTGCCAGCACCTGATTCCTTTTGCCGCACAGATCGCGTTTCTTGTCTCGATGTTCCAGTCTCCCTTGGAACAGCACCTGTTTAACCAGAAAAGAAGATGGTTTTCAATGCTACCCCTTCTCCTGACAGTGCTGTGTGAAAAGATGAAATACCCTGGACCTCAGAAACATTTGGTTAAAATTTTAACAACTCAGCCTGGTGTGGCTGATGTCCTCTGTGGTGCTTCAGTAGCTATGTAAGCTCACCTCCTTGCCAAGGCCCTTCACAATCTCTCCTCAAAGTTGATTTATCTATCACATCAGCTGGTCATTCCAGCTCCTATGCTACTGTTTAATCAAAATTCCAGTTTTGTGGATTTCTTTTTTTACTATGTTAGATACAGAAATGGTAGACCATGCTGTGGAGGCAGGAGCTTCATCTTCAAGTAACCTTCACTTAAACTTCTGTCTGGATCAGCTGTGAAATTGTGCATTTGGAGCTGCCAGTTACTGCAGGTCTGAGGGCAGCAGGAAACACCAAGGATATCCCCACCACAGCCCAGTGCAGGCAGATACAGCCACTGACATCCCAGTAACCACAGCTTCTCCAGGTTTCTTTAAATCAGAACCTCATTGCTCAGTCTCCCAGGAAAAGCAGGCTTGAGGGCATGACCCCTCTTAATGCCAGCCTGGGCAGAGCGAAGGCAGACCCTCAGGACACTCCCAGCAGTGCTCCAGGTGCAGTGAGGAAGAGGTTAAACACCCCCAGCCCAGCTGTGAGTCAGGCATACCTCTGTGTCCTCCTGCACTGCTGCTGGCCCCCCAGCCTGACTGCAGCAGCTCTGAAATCAGCTCCGACTCAGACTGGTAGAAAGTCCCAGTCAGCACAAATTTATTCTCTACCAGGTTTGCCACCCAGGTGGGGTCAAAGCCCATCTGCAGGACATTCTGCACTATGAGATTCTGATCCTCAGAAGGATGAACCAGCAATTTCCAATCTCTCAGAGGATCTGTAAAGCAGTGAACAGGTAATTTACAAAAAAGGCAGAACCTTGGGCAAGAACTGCCACTCCTTAATGGTGTTCTACATAAAATGGCATTAATATATCCTAGAACACTCCTCAAGATATCCATATAGCTAGATTAACTTCCACAGTTATTTTTTAATTCAAATCATAATGCACAAGAAAGTTAATCAAAGCAAATTTCATAAAAGCCCAGACACTCATTTTGGATGGCTTATTTCACTTTATCAGTGAACAGTCTCCTGTGTTTGGCATCAGTCCAGAAGCCTTATCTCTGTTTTCACATCCCAGAACAGAAACCTCAGAACTGCTTTCATGAACATCAAGTGTAACATCCCAGTTGAAGCCTCTCCTACCTCAACCATTCATCAGTAACAGCAGAAGCAGGAAATTCAGCCAGCAGTCTCTTCAAAGGCTCAAGTCCTACTTAAGCTAATGGGAGCCAAATTTCAACTACTTACTTTCTGGGAGCGACTGATAAATGGGATTAAACCCCAAGATCTACATTTTCATGAACATCTAGACCCTGTACTTTTCTCTGGTTTCTTATCAAGCATGTTTAAAATGTTGTTGTGAAGGACTTTACAGACAGGCATCAACAGCAAGAGCATGCAAAAGTCAAAGGTAAGTTCGGTAAACACTCAAAACTCACATGATTATCCAGGCTAGCTAACTGTCTCTGGCCTTAGACTACAAGGTCTCACAAGAACAAATAATTTTGTTTCTTTAGCTAGAAGCCATTTCCTAAAACCAAAGTGAAACAGCTTCTAGAGTATGGAAACATCTCACAAGCACCATATCTACAGAGGGCAGAACAGCTGAGCTGGGCTGGTGGAACTGAGACTACACCACATTCACCAGAAGAAAAAACACCATGGAATTACAGCACTGACCTTGGGAAGGAAAGGAGTCTTGCTCAGTTTGATCCCAGGAATGTCTCTGAAAATGATACAGAAAGAGAAGTCTGTGCTTAAAACTCTCCCATCTACCAAACCCAATCCACTACACACAAAATATTAATGACTCACTGGAGCCAGCAGGGTGGTAGAAAATGTCGCCTGAACACTGTTAACAAATTCTCTCCCCTTGGAGTGCAGTAAAAACTCACACCTGTGAGCAGAAAAGTTTAAATACATTAGTACAGGATCTCCCAAGTGAGAGTAAAGTGGCAGTCTGACTTTAGAGGCAAAAGGTGTTATGGGCAATGAGCAAACTGCTGTATATCCTTTAAAGACAGGGTATCACGTGTTTCACCTGTCCACCTCTTGCACAAAGGCTGACAGTCAGAGGATCATGATCCCTCCCCTTAATTCAGTCTTCATTTTGGCCCAAGATGAGCTCAGTTGTAACCTGCTTTAGAATACACCACAGGGAGTGATGAGAAAGTAGTTCACAGGAAAGAAACAAGAACTGCTGCAGAAACCCAAGGCTTACAATACATTTCTTGTACCTCAGAGTAGGAGTAATGAAAGCTCTTCTTTGATGCCAAAGAAAGTTATTTTAATTGAACTCTTAGATAGTGAACTCCAGGTCAAATTAGAGAATCTCAGGTCTGAACTGTGCCATTTCATCTGAGCTTAAACATTTTATTTTGCTTTTAAGGTGAAAGGATATAAATATTTCTATCCTATGAAATAAAAGCATCAGAGTGAAATGCATGACCTATCTTTTGGCCTTGCTATGAGGGGTATTTGTTAACTGACTTACTCTGGGTACCATTTGGCATGTTCCCTCCAAGGATCATCTCCGAAGGACCAGCTCCTCACACCTCCATCACAGTAAAAACACCTCACTACATCTCCTTGTCCTGAAGGGGAGAGCAAGAGATTATTAGACACCTGAGACACTACATGCCCTACACTAACACCAGGTGAGACCTTGGGGCAAGACTCAGCACAAAACACAGGCTTTGGACAGAAAAGATGAACACATGACAATTTACCAACACAGTGCACATGGCACAGGGGCAGGAACTCAGTCTGAGCTCCCAGAGCTGCAGCTGGTTGAGCTGATTCCAGAAGGGGATCAACAGGCAGCACCTATGGGAGCAGCTGAGCTCCCATGCACAACCCCCCAGCCTGCCTTTAGAGCAGAGCTGTAATTAGTTACACCTATCAACACACTGCTCACTAACCACAGCCTGCCACAGTGCAGGTATTTTCCTCTGGCTGGGCAATTTAGAGAGGAGTATTTCTTCAAACCTGTTACCTAACCAGCAAAGCATTCTCAAAGGGAATTATATTGATATTCACATGCATGTGATTACAAGAAATACTGCCAACTTTCCGCACCAAAAAAAGTATCTAATTTCTGTATTTCAAATGAAGAGTCCCTAGAGAAACAAGCCACAGCAACAACCAGATGGGCTGACTCCATACAGCTGTGACTCAGATCTGGAGTTTTGAGATGAAAAGGCTTCAGTACAAGACACAGCCTATCAAAACATGACACACCGTCATAAGGAATAAATACTTTCAATTGATCTTAAAGCACACAATTTTCTGCCAGTAAAGCGTAAGTTTAAAGCACACCACCTTTTCCTCTCCTGCTGGCAAGAAGGTATTTACTAGTGGACCCCCTCAGTACCCAAACAGGGGTTAAATGTTGAAATGAATTCTGCACAAGAAACAGCATAGGCAGAAGGAAGGATGTGGTTTCTTAAGTACAATACACATATACACAAGTATTTCTAAGAGCAATAAAACAGTGAAACTTTCAAAAGTTAACTTGAATGACAATTAAGGACATTTCCCCAGGGAACCTACCTGTGTAAAAGAACCCTGCTCTAGCCAGTTGCTCTGGATGCACATTGGAATTTTGTGGCCAGTTGTCAAATGTAGACAATCTCATCTCCTCCGTCACCATCTCGGGGTACTCTGGCTCGTTGGGCAGGGCTGTCTGCTCACTGACTATCCCCTGCAAGACACTCAGGAACTGCCCATCCACAGTGTCAAAGATCTCCTGCAGGGACAGCCTCTCCTGGTTCCCAACATCCTCACCACAAAGGTATTCACAGGAAGGGAAGAAATTCAGATGCTCTATCATGGGGCAATCACCAGGTCTCCAGTCCTTCAGGACACCACCACAGCAGAAACACTGCACTTCATCCCTGGGGCCCACATAGAAAAATCCAGCCTCAGCCAGGTCCCGGGCAGACACAGGGGCAGTGCGGGGCCAGTGCTGGAAAGTCCTGAGCCTCCTCGCCACGCTCCTCATGCTGGAATCAAAGAGCTGGCAGCGAGCAGCCCTGGGCTCAGGCTGCTCTGCTGGTGCTGCATCCCCCATGGCTGTGCTCTGAAAGAGAGGATGAGGGAGCCCAGAGCAGTCAGCTGCATTCCCAGCACCAGGCAGCACTCACCCCATGTTATTATTCCCCGTCCCCATGCACATTCCAGAAAGCTCCTGCTTGCAACAAAGCCGAGCTTGTTTCAGAATTGCAGCCCAGTCACAGATCTGGTGTTTCTGTACTTTGCTGTTGAACTTTTGCTGAGCCCTCACTGGTGTCTGATGGGAAGAGTCCAGAGCTTTCCAAGGCCAAATTTACAGGAAAGATGGAACAGAGAAAAGAGGGCAAAACCTGTGCTGCCTCCCAAGCTAAACCAAGCCCACCTTTGGCATCTGATCTGCAAGATAAATCCCCAGCCATTTTGCTAAGCCTTTAAACTAGCATTGAAAAGGCTCTGCTTTTTATTCCCCAAACCAGGCATGTCATAACAAAACAGAACAGCCACACCCAAACAATGTCTCAATCTCTCATTTACAGTCAAACACCACACAAAACATCACATTTCTCATGTCTTTATTGTCATGATTATTAAGCAGTGATTATCTAGAAATAGCTCTATTAAAAAGAACTTTTCCAAGCCATAGCCTAAAATAATTAGGTGCAGTTTCTATGAGGTGGTATCCTTAAATCAAGGATTTTCTAACCTATGTCATATTCTTCCCATGCTACTTCTGTGCAAGAGTGAATTTAAACAAGTTACCAAGTGCCTGATTCTCCAAGCTTTCATCCTGCTTAAGGTAACAGCCCTTCCCTGGGTGATTAAGCTGAACAGCAACTCAGCCACTGCTTCCAACACTTTCCCTATGGCTGCCAGAAACGCTTTCCAAAGGCCCCACAATGACACAGCTGAGAACCAGGAACAACTTAATTCCTTTGGAGTGAAGCCCTTACACAATGGGACTTCATGAAAGGTGCAATCAACCCCCTTTTTTTTTTAATTAAGGGCCCTCAAAATCCCTTCCACACCCAACTCAAAACAAATTCAACCCAAGGAAGTGCAACTTCCTATCTACTGGTTATCAGGGCTAAGCATTGTTAGCACACAGACCCCAAAATGTCACAGAGGAAAATGGTAAATCAAGGGAAAAAATATAAATACACACCTTTAAAAGCTACAAATTTTCAAGGCTGGTACAGCACATTAAAATAACAGATAACTGCAGCAGTGCACAGTAAAATACAAACAAGTGGAGAGCATAGATGCAGCAGCCACTCTGCAGCAAACACCATCACAGAGATGCTGAGGAGGCTTCAGAAACACTCAGGCCAGTAGCATCTCTGAAGAACTACTACTCTTAATTAAGAGCTGCAAAATATTTAAGGAGGAAAAAAGCTAACAGTTCATTTTAGTCACAAAATCAACAGCTGTCCTATATATACACCTATGTATAATAGGTATTATACATGTAGTGAGATTTTAAAAGCAAAATTAAACTTACTCAACCACATGCCTCTCATATTAAAAGGTAGAAAGGAAGAAAAAGTTCATTAGCAACCAGCATTTCCCTCTATAATGACAGAGACCAGGGCTAGAAGAAAAGGCTCCAAAAGTCTCTTCCAGAAACTGTGTGTTATTTAATACAATAACGAAGTTACTCAAGATCTATGTCACTGGAATAAGGAAAAGTCCATTGAGAAAGAAGGCTCCAAAGCCATTAGTCACTGATGGCCAGCAGAATTTGCAAGCTAAGCAAACTGAGGAAAGGCAGATTGTTTGCTTTCACAGCAGATTTTGCTCCCAGAACACAGAAGCTTGTTCATCAGGCACAGCTCCACAATCAGTGCTGCTCTCATCTTCCAGCATTAACAAAGCAGAAGCTGTAACTCAAGCTACAGCAAATTTTGGGTTTCACAGAGATGATGGCCAGGTTATCCTAGCTTTCCTCCATTCCAGAAAGCACTTGAGAGCAAGCTTCACAGCTTTTGCTTTGTATCTTCACAAAGAAAATTATTTCCTCCACAAAAGACTTTTTTTAATAAGAGGTGTAACATAGGAAAACAAATATATTTATCTTTTGTTTATTAAGAAGCCCATTATGGTTTACCTGCATATTCATATGCACTGCAAAAGGTTCATTAACTCTGCTAATGAAACTCCTCAAACCAAATTAAAATTTTAAATTGCTATAACACCACTAAAAACCAGTATTCTACCACAACCCACTACTTACATAGCAATGAAAAACAACATTACAGCTCATACCAACAATCAGCACTGTAAAAATAAAATTATTTAAAAAAAACCAAACAACTTCACCTGAAACATGTTAACTAAACCCCAGAAAGCTTCCATTATTTAAAAATCTCTCAACACCACAAGCTTCACACAAAAATCTCTTCTCCTCAACTATCTCTCCCAAAGCAGAAACACTGCCAAGGAGTAAGTGATGCCACCTGCCTCAGAGCCCATTTATAAAGCTTAGTTGCCCCCAATTGGTTGGGATGGGCTGAAGTTCTCTATTGGCTAACGAGTTCAAATTTCATCTTTATAAAAAGGAGTCACAAGGCAAAGGTATAAAGTTAAGCTCAAATTTTGTTCAGAAAATAACAGATCTTGTTAAAACCTAGTCTAGTGCCAGGTGTGACATCCTGATATAATCCTATGATATAATGGCTGTCACCTCCCTATTTCGCTGTGACTCTATTAACAGTATTTCTGCATCTTTTTCAGCTTGTTTTCACATGTAGTTTGCACCTTACATTTCTTAAGAAAATGTACTGTAAAATTAGCAGATAAATAGCAACAAGAATTTTCTCCAGACAGCTTGAACAGATTGCATTGCCTTTACTTTGGGAATCAAGTCTTCTACATTACATCTTCACAACTTGAAATCCTGCTATTCCTTTGCCTTCCTATGGTCACAATTCCACAAAGTGAAAGATTTTATGGATAGTTCTGAAAGGTGTAATTACTTGAATATGTATTTTCTTTTACCACTGCCTGAGAAGATGCATAAGGCTTCTTCTACACTCTTGACAAAATATCAGTTCTCCATGTAAACATAAGAACATGGGTGGTTCATGTTTCTTAGAAATTATAAATTAGTATTTTTCTTTCAATAAAAAGATCCAAAGAAAGGATTTTTATTTTGCAGGCAAGCCCATAACAATCATTCTCATTAAAAAAAAAGCAGTGTTGGGTTTTTGCTAATTAAATACTTGTTAATGAAAGCCCCTGAGCAGTAGAGGGCAGTGCTTTTATATGACATTTACAGAATCTTGTAACAAGAGAATGTGCTGGGGAGGTTTGTCCTCAGTGAATTTCCATGTAATGAAATACATATGAGGATAATCACATGTTATCTTCCACTCCCTGGATCCTGTCCTTTCTAAGTCTATGCAGATTTTTGAAGAATGCATCCTAAAAATCCAAGGGACAGAATTAACAGAATCCCTCCAGCAGAGGCTATTTGGGGTCTGCTGATGGGTTGTAGCAAATCAATAAAAGTGATTGATAATTCTGATTTGATCAAGCATTTTACAAGCAATGATCTCTTCTTCTACTGCTTATAACCACCTGGCTGCCCAAAGGTGAGCACAATTCCACCTGTTTTAGGGGAAGCTCCATCCTGATTGTTAAAGAGGGAAGAGTAGTATAAATCTTGAGGAGCTCAAAAGCAGCTTCTAAGTTAATTGACAACATTTGTCTGCTTCTGGCAGTGGTTATCTGCTTTGGGTTTTTTTTCTTGTATACATAACATTCTTCTATCATAAAAACTTCAGGACAAGTTTAAGGTTGATTATCTGTGGGGATACACTCATGATTTTGGGGTGAACATTTCACCAACAGAGGAAAGCTGAGGAGGATCAGTGAGATGACTGTAGCAGAAGATGAAATGCACACACCAATGGTGCTGAGAGCAAAAAAAAACAAGTCATCATGAATGATAGGGTTTTATTCCAGCACACCAAAATTCGGGAAGCAAATAACATATTCAGTAGTATGTTGTATGCAACTTATACTGATCTTTTTTAGCAAGTCATACTTTTTCAGTTTCTTTTCAGAGCATTAAGATGTCCTACTGAACTTCTGAATGCTTCTTAAAATGAGGAGTGTCATGAGCTAGTGATCAACAAACGTGGGAATCAGCAAACATCAATCAGGAGTCCAGGACAGATCAGTGATAATGATCAACAGTGTCATCACTAGACAGTGATTGGAAACACTCGATGAAGAAAGTAATATAAACATAATTAATCAAAAATCTGCTTGCTGCTATCAACCTGATTTGGAAGGAAAACAATCAATAAATACAAGGGCCAGAGAATATCTGGAGACAGCATAATGAAGAGCTTGAAAGCACTGAAGTGACTGGAACCCCTGGAAAAACTCCAGCAGAACTCAGCACCTCTACCCTCGTGGTGCTACACAGCTGCAAGGGGCTGAAGCTGCTCTGTGTGGCTTAGCTGGAGGAACACCATTGTGCTTTCATCAATAAATTAAGAGTTTACTGAGGAAAGAGGCTTTTATAACAGGAGATAAAAAAGGGTGTCAGTTGGCATTGGTGAAGAAATTAAGAGTCTGGAACACAAAAGGAGATACCATAGCTTGCCACTGCAACTGATATGTAAAGGGACTGGGTATCGAGCAAATTTATGGCAGAGTTCCCATTCCCACTTGCTCAGATGTTAGCCACTATTAAGATGTGGATCCATTTTTCAGAATGAAACATTCAGACCCTGTGATATAACTGCTTTGCAGCCTGAAGCACAGTAGACAAAATCATAACACCTAAAGCCCTAGACACAGATGACTGCTGCTGTTTCTCCACTTAGGAGCTCTCTTTTCCTCTTCTGGCTGCCTCTTCTTTGTGTGCTGTCCTCCTCCTTCCCTCCCACTGCAGGGCCTGCTGCTCTGGTGCTGCAGCACAGCAGCTGCACTGCTGCTCCCTGGGGAGCTCCTGCCACCGGAACACCCCTGAGGGAGCCCATCTGCTCAGCTGCTCCCAGGGCAGCCCTCAGGGACCAAGGCACACCGCTGGATGTTGACACAGAGCTCCACAGCATATATAAAACAAATCCACTGTGGACAGGAAACAGGATTCAACTCAGTGAATAGTGAGAAGACACACTGAAAAGTGACTGGTCACCCCTGGGACAAACACAGAGCCATTTCCTCAGGGCAGGGCAAAGCTCAGAAGTCTCACTTTGCTGTTTCATGCAGCTCAAGTGTTTCTTTTCCCATAACAAGTTCTGCTATACATCTACAGGGATCTTTTCTGCCTATCAACAGCTTCCTTGCTCTACTTCCCTCAGTGGACTTCTCAATAATTATGAAAAAAACCACAACAAAACTAACACATTAATAATAAAAAATGGTTTATTTCTCCATACATTAACAAACATTCATTCAGGAAGCCTGGAAAATGAAGTAAATAATAGAATCCCAGAATGGGATTGGAAGGGGTCTTAAAATTCATCTCATTGCAACTTCTGCCATGGGCAGGGACACCTTCCACTACCCCAGGCTGCTCCAAGTCCTGTCCAACCTGGCCTTGGACACTCCCAGGGATGGGGCAGCCACAGCTTCCCTGGGTAACCTGTGCCAGGGCCTCCCCACCATCTGAGTAAAGAACTTCTTCCTAATATCAAACCTAAACCTCTCCTCTTTTAATTTAAAGCCATTCTCCCTTATCCTATCACTGCATGCCCTTATAAAGTATACATACTATACATAGAGACTGCTGAAACTAATGCACAGGTGAGTAACAAATACTTGTTTTGTGATTTCCTAGGGATTCAAATCTTTTCATCTCCTGCCCTAATTCTTTCCCCTAGCCCCCACTACCATGGCATTCGATTGCCTCAAAACTTTAGGTATTGTAATAGTTAGGAATAGCTAAATGTAGCTTGCAACATGATTCATGAAAGTGCTTCAAATCAAATCCTATTAATATCCCAGCCCACAGAACAGAACACAGTACATATGAAAAGGAAAATCTGCAAAGCACAGCAGATACTCAAAAAATCAGTAGAGGAACTGGCCTTAAAATCTAAAAAACTTCATGGCTTCATTGTCCAGTCTATTAAAAAAAATATTGCTGCTATTGAAGAGTAGGTTGACCACTGTTCACTTCTTTTTCAAAGGAAAGTGTTTTTAGAAAATAGCTTCTCTTTTATTTTTCTAAGTGTCTTTTGGAGCTGAAAAATGTGAGTTTCTTTTTCAAGGATAATTTTTTCTCTTCATTGAGTTTTCTAGCCCTTCTTGCCCTTGCCAGTGAACCCAATAATTATGAGGGAAAAAAAAAAAGAAATAGAGACCAACCCCAAACCCTATCCATTATTTGTTGTCTTTTTTTTTGTTTCGCATAACATTCTGAATATTTGAAAAAAATCTGTAAAAATTCACTGCTACTGCAAATTGAATGGACAATTTTCAGTTTTCAGTAGATAACAATCTATGACCCAAAGAGCACACAGAGTTTTTAGAGGCCTGAGCAGCAGCACAGGGATTGGGAATCCAAATTAAACTGTAGGGCTAAGTACATTCCCACAGTGAGTACAGAAAATATAAATTATATTCCCTTGCTTTTTTCCTTCCTAAGTAACACCTGGTAAGTTTCCCCAAAGATGAATTGCACTTCTTCCTCTCCCTCTGAATGACTTTGATCATTTCCCAATTCATTCTGATTCTGACATGGAGGAGCCTCACATTTCTCACATTTGGGCTCTATTCCCTTTACCTACTCCAAGCCAGGAGATACAGCAACAGAAGACCTGGAGCCTTATGTAAACTGAGTGGCATTGCAACTCCAAATTAAATCACATATAAAAATGTCACATATTAAACTAACAGTTCCTAAGAAGAGATTCTTACCCACTTGTGGCCACAGTTCCACCATTCAGCCATTAAATTACCTGTAAAGAAGGATTTGTCAGGCATTGTTGTGATTCTAATGGAGCTCATCCTACTTTATAATTGACAGAAAATCATACACCAACAATCATAGAACATCTGATTTTCCAATTAAATCCTGCTATAGTTTGGATTGTGTTTTTATTGCAGAGAACGTGCCTGGCTGCCTGAATATTGCTTGGGCAACAGGCAGAAAGATCTATTCTTGAGCTACTCACACTACAATCATCTGCTTTTATCCATGCAAATTGGCTTGGAATGAATTTATTTTCTCTTTGAATCAATAATCAATAGCCAGATTGAAAGACAAGGAAGAAAGACAACAGAGCAACCTGAAGTCACTGCAAAGAGCTGAAGGGAAAAATGCACAACAAAGTAACCAAAGACAGACTGACCTTACAATTTAATTTAATGGAAACCCCACGACAGCAGCAAGATGGAGTTGCCAAGGATGAAGATCAAGAAGGAGACAGGGGAGAGTCCCTGTGCTCAGTTGTTGCTCCGTTGAGCTCCTTGCCACAGCTTTCCAAGGAAGTTGTCTTTCAGGGAACAGCATGTGTGATGCTGATGTCAGATGGGATCTGTTCACAGGCCACACTCTTTGCATATGATTTCCCTCCTCATGTTTTCACAAACAATGTGTCAGTGACATGAGAAACAGGAGAGGAGAACAGATACAATTTCTCTGTGTGTCTGCTTTTATTTTTCACCCTAAAATTATGAAAGTGAATGCTGGATCCTTGGTTTGGGAACATTCCACGGGGGTGTAGGGTGAAGGAGGGAGATGATGGCAATATTTGATTTTCTGCCATGCTCATAACAGAGGGGGCTGCATAAAATTCCTGTAAAATCTACATTAATAACAAATAATAAAAACACCAATAAAAATGTGCTGTAGCTTACACACGAACTCTTCTGAGATTTCAGAGAGTGTTAGCAAAGGACAAAAAAGATAAGTACAATTTTTTCTTAAACTAGAAGAACACATTTCATTCAACTAAGACAAAACCAAACCCTGTGTTTCCCCCTGGGTTACAGTGTTACACTCCAAGAGTATCCCAAGTTATATATCAAAATATGAATATTATCCATTTCCTTCAACTGAGACTTTTCATCTTACTGGCTTTATTTCTAAAATACAATGCACTTCTCAATGGATAGACGAGATCATTCTTAGCATTACAAGGAATTAAAAATATCAGATTTTCCAAATGCAACAGAAAAAAAATATTCCCACAAAGACTTAGATGTGTACATGCATGTATATATGTGCCATGCTGCCTTTGGGTGTAATCTAACAGGTACAGCCTAAGAGCAGCCCCCTGTACATTGGGATGCTGAAGCAGAGAGAGCTCTACCATTCTGCCCACATGCTCTCCTGGCGAGGATGATTCATAGTCACATCGTTTCTATATCGAGATGTGAACATACACAATCACATGGACTTCGGAGCAGTGCCCATCACCCAGGCATCCAGCCTTTCCCTTCTCCTTCTACACACATGTTCCTCCCCACAGCCACGCTGATCACTTTTTTTTGGTCCTGTTTTTTGAAGCTCTGTTCTCTGGACAGACTTTTCCAGCTCGCTCAGGGACTGCCCACTGCAGGGATTTACTAACTTGCTCCATAATTACACCAAGGGAAAACAGAATTAGAATAGGCCAGGTTGGACAGGGCTTGGAGCAACCTGGTCTAGTGGGAGGTGTCCCTGCCCACGGCAGGGATTGGAACATGATGATCTCTGAGGTGTCGTCCAACCCAAATCATTCTGGGATTCTAGGAAAATACCAATTATTACTTACTACATAATTCAAATAGAGAGCCCAAAACATGTCCAGGTGCTGAGGATTGAAGCACCACTCTTTCTTCCTCATCTCTGGATGTCTAATCAGAAAAAATACGAAAGCAGACTCTTCATTTCAGATATTTTATTAGAGTGATAAGTACAAACTCAAATTTGCAAGTTCCAAACATGTGAACACAGAGAAGACTCTGGTTTTAGCTGTGTCTAAAGGAAGGCATGACTGTGTTGTTTGACATATTTCACAATGATCAGAATTTGCCACTTTTACCTGCATGGAGATGTTCTAAGACTTGATAAACTGCAGGACTTAGACCTTGGCCCTGATGAAATCAACAAAAACTGAGCTACGGGGCCCACAGTTATACTCAGGTTCTGCAAAACAGATGGAAGGGAAGAAAAAAGGAATTAATCTGATAAAAACCCACATTAAGGGCTGCTGTTGCCAGTGGCTGTGATCCTCTGCCAGGGCATCCAGGCCATGGCCAGGGGTGCTGGGTCATAGGCTGGACTTGATGGTCTCAGAGGTCTTTTCCAACGTAAGTCATTCAGTGATCCTGGGTCACTTCCAACTCAGGAAGCTCAGTGGTTCTGTCTCAGTGATCCAGTGATCCTGTGATCCTGCACAGCCGAGCCCGTGGGCAAAGAGTCCTCGCAAAGGCTGAGAGGAATGGAGAAAGGACAGAATGAGAGAATATTCTGAGCTGGAAGAGACACACAGGATCATTAAGTCCAAATCCTGATGCTGCACAGAATCCCATGTGCTGTTGGAAAACATTTTTTACAGAAAGAGTGATCAAGTACTGGAATTGTCTGCCTGGGGTGGTGGTGAAGCCACCATCCCTGGAAGTGTTCAAAAGAAGACTGGATACGGCACTAGGTGCCATGGTATGGTTGAAGAGTTAGGGAATGGGTTGGACTCAGTGATCTTAAAGGTCTCTTCCAACCTTGTTGATTCTGTGATTCTGGATGACTCTGTGAGCAATCAGGCTCGGTGCTGTGACCACATCCCTGGGGAGCCCGTCCCCGTGCCCGACCACCCTCCGGGAGAAGAACCCCGTCCTCCCGAGGAAGTCGCACACAGCCATGAGCAGCGCCCTCAGCCTCCCGTTCTCCAGGTCAGTCAGCCCAAGTGGCCTGTGCGGCGGGATATGGTGGGATGCGCTGCGGTGCTGTATCTGCCGTGCGCTCCCTCACTGCCCTAATTGCCCTAATTACCCTCACTGCCCTCATTACCCTCACTGCCCTGCCCTCACTCCCCTCACAGCCCTCTCTCCCCTCAGCGCTCCCGCGCACGCGCAGAGGCGCCGCCGCCCCGCGCGCCTTTCCCCCGCT